GAAATAAATGCTGTTTTTTCCTGTCCAGGTATTTACAACATGGTGGGGCAGTGGTCAGGAGACAAGACAGGTTTGCTGTAGTCTCGGGAGAATCCTCTCACCTCTGGAGCTCAGGCCCACATCAGTGAAATAAAGGGCATAGCAGGATGATCGCCACATTATTCAAGCCATGCGATTTGAGAGCCGTGTAAAGGCTTGGGGTTGGTACGACAGTATTGCAGCTGGTTTGCAAACAAGGCTCAGAAGTGAGAGCCTCATTTGTAGATTGACACACTGGTCCTGAACTCAGGGCTCTTCACTCACTGGACTGAGGTTGACCTCTTCCTGTTGTCCAAAGGCCCAGGCAGCAAACATATTCCAGACTCAGAGGCTGTGTGCCAAAGGTTGCCCCTCATGAGACCCTGAGGATGGAAGGCTCTCGAGGTATCCAGCTGCACAGCCCTCCCCAACATCTGCTAGACACTCAAAGGAAGCAGTGGGTGACAAAAACAACGACTTTGACATTTGAGTCAGTCTTTGGTGCATCTGCCTTTCCCACAAACCCACCATGACATGTGTTTTTGCAATGAAGCTTTTCAAACATCAATAAGGGGTTCATAAAAGAACCCACAAGACCCAGGCATTTCCAATCTTTTTTAAAAAATATTTTTAAAAATATTTATTTTTGAGACACACACACACACACACACACACACACACACACACAGAGTGTGAGTGGGGGAGGGGCAGAATGAGAGGGAGACACAGAATCCGAAGCAGGCTCCAGGCTCTGAACTGTCCTCACAGAGGCTGATACGGGGCTCAAACTCATGAACCGTGAGATCTCAAACTCATGAACCGTGAGATCATGACCTGAGCCCAAGTCAGTCCCTTAACCAACTGAGCCACCCAGGCATCGGATGGTGTTTTTAATCTTAATAGATGTTGTTTAGGGTGTGTCCCACACCCTGTCCCACCTCCTCACTGCCCTAGAGGCAGCAGGCTCCCAGCCCTATGCACCTGGGGGCGCTACTCATGGAGTAGTCTCAAGCATTCTTGTTTCCTAATTACTTTCACATTTTGCCCTTTTGGGGTTAGAATTGTGGCTCAAATACCAACAGCTGTGTGACCTTAGGCAAGTCACTTAACTTATTTGTGTTAGTTTTTAATCTCATCAACAGATATTTATTGAGTGCCTTTAATACCAGGTTCTATTCTAGATTCTACATTAGCCATTTCCTTTTCCAATGGTCAGAAATCCAGGCAATTTAGTCACTCATATGATTTAGTAACCAATATTTCCAGTGGTTCCAATGTATTATTGTGCTTGCATACAAGGACTCAGAAGAAAAGATGGTCAGTCTGCTTATACTACAAAGCTGTAGTAATCAAAACAGTATGGTACTGGCACAAAAATAAACACATAGGTCAATAGAACAAAATATAGAGTCCATAAATAAACCCACACTTGTATTGTCAATCTACAACAAAGGAGGGAAGAATATACAGTAGGGAAAAGGCAGTCTCTTCAATAAATGGTAAAATTGGACAGCTACCTACAAAAGAATGAAACTGGACAACCACTTTCTCACACCATACCCAAATATAAACTCAAAATGGATTAAAGACCTAAATGTGAGACCAAGAAAATAAATAATCCAATTAGAAATGGGCAGAGGACCTGAATAGACATTTTCCAAAGAAGACATACCAATGGCCAACAGACATATGAAAAGGTACTTAATATCATCAGGGAAATGCAAATTAAAATTATAATGAGATATCACCCCACACCAGTCACAATGGCTAGAATAAAAAAGACAAGAAATAATAAGTGTTGGTGAGGATGTAGAGAAAAAGGAACCCTCATGCACTGTTAGTAGGAATGCAAATTTATGCAGCCACTGTGGAAAACAGGAGGGAGGTCCTCAAAAAGTTAAAAATAGAAATACCACATGGTCCAGTAATTCCACTACTGGTTACCCAAATAAAATGAAAACACTAATTTGAAAAGATACATGCTCCCGTGCACGCGCGTGTGTGTGTGTGTGTGTGTGTGTGTGTGTGTGTGTGGTGGAATATTACTCAGCCATGAAAAGGATGAGATCTTGCCATTTGTGACAATATGGATGAACCTAGAGGATATTATACTAAGTAAAATAAATTTGACAGAGAAAGATAAATACTGTATGATTTCACTTCCACAGGAAATCTAAAAGACAAAACAAATGAACAACAAAGAGCAAAAAAAGACCCATAAATACAGAGAACAAACTGATGGTTGCCAGAGGAGAGGGGATGGGGGGATGGGCAAAATGGGTGAAGGGGAGAGGGAGGCATAGGCTTCCAGTGTGGAATGAATAAGTCACCAGAATAAAAGGTACAGCATAGAGAATATAGTCAATAGTATTGTAACAACATTATATGGTGACAGAGGGTAGCCACACTTGTAGGGAGCACAGCATAACATATAAAGAAGTTGAATCACTATGCTCTACACCTGAAACTAATGTAACACTGTGTGTCAACTACCCTTTAATAAAACTATAAAAAATAAAAAGATGGTCAATCTGCTGAGCCGCCACCTAAACTTTATCATGTCAGGGTTAACAGGGTTCTAACTGCAAGCAACTTGGTAAGTCTCTTGAAAGAAACAGTGACTGCACAGGATGGTATTAAAACTTTTGGGTCAGGAGGGAAGACAGACTTTCCCTGTCTTCTTGGGACATGCCTTGGGTGGCAAGGAAGTCATCTGGAGGCAGAAAAGACCAACAGCTGCTCTGAGATCCAGTTGGATTATTAACAGGATGGATGGCTTCAGTCTAAGCCTGTGTGGTTTTTTTCTAATGTCTTCTGACTTGTCTCAGGGTTTAAGAGCCAAAATTTGATGAGAAATTGAGAAAGTGAATGAGTTGTAATTTGAGAGTACTATCAACTATCGTAGGGGGTGTCTGGTAAGAATTGTTTCAACGTTGGGGCGCCTGGGTGGTGCAGTCAGTTAAGCGTCCGACTTCAGCCAGGTCACAATCTCGCGCTCCGTGAGTTCGAGCCCCGCATCGGGCTCTGGGCTGATGGCTCAGAGCCTGGAGCCTGTTTCCGATTCTGTGTCTCCCTCTCTCTCTGCCCCTCCCCCGTTCATGCTCTGTCTCTCTCTGTCCCAAAAATAAATAAACGTTGAAAAAAAAAAAAAAGAATTGTTTCAACGTTTATTTATGGCATGCACATTAGTTATCAGGCACCATGCTGGGCTAGATATACAATAGAGTGCAGAAGATAGACATGACTCTGTACCTGTATCTATTTATGAAAATGGGATAAGTACCAAAAAAGTTTAAGAAGCCCAGAGTATTATAAGAGAGAATACTACTGGGATTCTCTCATTTAAATGGAATGACCAGTGAAAACCTTTCTGAAGAAGTGATATTCAGTTTAGAACTGAAGGATCCTGGGAGCTGGTCATATAAAAGTAGGGCAGAAGTGGGTTGCCTGGGTGGCTGATTCCGGCTCATGTCACGATCTCACAGTTTGCAAGTTCAAGCCCCAAGTTGGGCTATGTGCTGACAGCACGGAGCCTGCTTGGGATTCTCTCCCTCTTTCCCTCTCTCTCTCTGCCCCTTCCCTGTGCTCTCTAAATGAATGAATGAATGAATAAATAAATAAATAAATAAAGTAGGGCAGAGGTGGGGTCAAGAACATTCCAACCAATGGCAACATCTCAGGCAAAGGCCCTGAGGTGGGCAAGAACTTTTAATGAACTGAAAGGCCTGTGTGGCCACAGTGTGTCATGAGAGGAAGAGAGTAGAGAGTTGCAGAGGAAGGAAGAGCCCAGATAATGAGGGGCTTGAAAGTCAATCTAAAGATACCGGACTTTATTCTAACGGCAATGGGAAGCCACTGAAGTGTCATTTTACTATTATTTTTTATTTTCTTTAATGTTTATTTATCTTGCAAAAGAGTAAGAGAGCACAGGGAAGGGGCAGAGAGAATCCCAAGTAGGCTCCACACTCAGCAGGGAGTCCCACTCGGGGCTCAATTCCACGACCTTGAGATCATGACCTGAACTGAAGCCAAGAGTCGACTGCCCAACAGGCTGAGCCATCCAGGCTCAGTCTTATTTTATTTATTTATTTATTTATTAATTTATTATTATTTATTTATTTATAAATATTTATTTATTTTTGAGACAGAGAGAAAGCACAAGTGGGGAGGGGCAGAGAGAGAGAACAGAGGATCCAAAGCGAGCTCTGTGCTGACAGCAGAGAGCCTGATGTGGTGCTCGAACCTGCGAACCATGAGATCAAGACTGGAACTGAAGTCCCATGTTTGACGACTGAGCCACCCAGGCACCCCCTGAAGTGTTATTTTAAAAACAGACTGGGGCGCCTGGGTGGCGCAGTCGGTTAAGCGTCCGACTTCAGCCAGGTCAGGATCTCACGGTCCATGAGTTCGAGCCCCGCATCAGGCTCTGGGCTGATGGCTCAGAGCCTGGAGCCTGTTTCCGATTCTGTCTCCCCCTCTCTCTCTGCCCCTCCCCCGTTCATGCTCTGTCTCTCTCTGTCCCAAAAATAAATAAACGTTGAAAAAGAAAAAAATTTAAAAACAGACGGACACAATCTGAATTACATTTCCATCAATGGCAACTGAAGGAGTAACATGGCTGGCCTCAGAGAAAGGAGGGGAAAGGACAATGTTGCTGTGCTCCCCCATGTCAACAGCAGGCCAACCACACCTGAAGAGTATCATCAGGAGAAGGAACACACAGCATCACTGAGTGAGGTTCCAGAAGAATCTTAATTCCCACAGGAGTCCTGTTTCTGACTTCAGACTCTTCTGTATTTATTAGCTCAGCGAACATATGTTTCTTGAGTTTTCACCCAGTGATAGTGAACAGGATAGACCATGTACCACATGTAATTTGTTAGTACTCAGTTATCCCTGTCTTTTTAGTCTTTTCCCTGTCCCCAGGGAAGAGTTAGCTGCTGTCCACCATGGAGCTCTCTGGGCTACTGCTGAGTCACGTCTAGAGCTTCAGGCCACAGTCCACTGAGTCAGCTCTCTGGCTTAAACACTGGAAGGCCAGAAAGAAGGGTCCCTTCTGCTTCCTGTTCTGTCCTCTTAACCTCCATGTAGCTAACATGCCACACTGGGGAACGATCATTGGAATTCTTTTACTAAAGAGTCAGGACAATTTCTGAAGAGAATTACAACACTAGAGGGACCATCATTAACAATAATTTGAATTTCATCTAATGAGGTAAGATGCCTATAAAATTCTAACAACTTGTACAAGGAGCGTTCTCTGATTTGATTCTGCACTTAAACTTGCTCTCAAGTTTCACCCACATCCCATTAAATCTCTACGACTGGCAATCTTACCTTTTTCTGAAAGAAATCCCAGTTCTGAATCTTTCTCCCCCGTCCATCCTCAAGGAACCCTGGTTCCAGAATCAGAGATGCTGCCAGAGGAAGTAGGAGGGATAAGGTGAGGATGAGAAAGTTCCTCAATTAGTTTCCCACACATGGGAGCTGCCAGCCTGCTGGCCCTTTGATTTATTTATTGAGTGCATCTTTTGTTTTTTAAGTTTATTTATTTTTAGTAATCTCTACACCCAACATGGGGCTCAAACTCACAAACCTTGAGATCAAGAGCTGCATGCTGTAACGACTCAGCCAGCCAGGCATCCCTCCAGTGCTTTTCTTTCTTTCTTTCTTCCTTCCTTCCTTCCTTCCTTCCTTCCTTCCTTCCTTCCTTTTTATTTATTTATTTAATTTACTTTTAGTGTTTATTTTTGAGAGAGAGAGAGAGCGCACGAGAGAGCACGCACACGCACAAGCGGGGGAGGGGCAGAGAGAGGAGACACAAGCAGGCTCCAGGCTTCTAGCTGTCAGCACAGAAACCGACTCGGGGCTCAAACTCATGAACCGTGAGAGATCATGGCTTGAGCTGAAGTCAGATGCTTAACACACTGAGCCACCCAGGCGCCCTCAGTGCATCTTTCAAAGGCAAATATGTATGTCCCCCCCCCCCCCCCCAGCAATCTGGTTTGAAAAGATTGTTTCTGCTAATTAGCAAGGTTCTAGTAGTACTCCCTATGATGAGTCCCTATTCTTGTTTTTTAGGGTTTTTATTTCTCCATGATTTTGCGGACATATGATGTTTGGTGGCATTATCAAAGAGCAATAGTGGTGTTTAAAGACTGCTCTCGGCCTCTATTTCTGTTCAGGTTCTCCCAGGATTAGGGGTCATTGGGTGGGTCGGGGGCAGATATTATGATTTTTATTCCTCCTCCTATTACAGAATGAATCAAGAAGCAGGGCAGAAGGAGATGTGAAAGTATAGCATAATTCTGATAGAAGAATGCTAGAAGTTTCTGTGGGAGTTTGAGAGAGAAGATCAAGGGGGATCTTAGTCTGAAACAGAGGGTTCCATCAGTCCATCAGTCAGTCCACCGGTAGAATCTCCAGATACTGATTGTTGGGCATCGACTTGTGCTTTTCCCTGCAACCTGTCTCCACCTTCTTTTATCTTTAGTGGAAGACCATCAGTTTCTTAAGTCTACAGATGAATTACATGTGGGAAGATTTCCTACATTTACAACAATAATATTTGATAAGAGCTTACTTTGCTGCTAGGGACTATTTTAAGTGTATCAAATGCTTTGGCGCATTTAGTGCCCACAATGCCCTATGAAGTAAGTACTGTTGTGATCATGCCCAATTTTTTCAGTGTTTATTTTGAGAAAGACAGACAGCGTGAGTGGGGGAGGGGCAGAAAGAGAGAGAGGGAAAGAGAGAATCCCAAATAGGCTGTCAGCATGGTGTCCAACTCAGGGCTCAATCTCCTGAACTGTGAGATCATGACCTGAGCCAAAACCAAGAGTTGGATGCTTAACTGACCAAGCCACCCGGGCACACCTGATCATGCCCCTTTTTTAAAATTTTACTTTTTTAAAATTTACATCCAAATTAGTTAGCATATAGTGCAACAATGATTTCAGGAGTAGATTCCTTAATGTCCCTTACCCATTTAGCCCATCTCCCCCCCACACCCCCTCTAGTAACCCTCTGTTTGTTCTCCATATTTATGAGTCTCTTATGTTTTGTCCTCCTCCCTGTTGTTATATTATTTTTGATTCCCTTCCCTTATGTTCATCTGTTTTGTCTCTTAAAGTCCTCATATGAGTGAAGTCATATGATATTTGTCTTTCTCTGACTAATTTCACTTAGCATAATACCCTCCAATTCCATCCACGTAGTTGCAAGTGGCAAGATTTCATTCTTTTTGATTGCTGAGTAATACTCCATTGTGTATATATATATATATATATATATATATATATACCACATCTTCTTTATCCATTCATCCATTGATGGACATTTGGGCTCTTTCCATACTTTGGCTATTGTCGATAGTGCTGCTATAAACATGGGGGTGCATGTGTCTCTTCGAAACAGCACACCTGTATCCCTTGGATAAATGCCTAGTGGTACCATTGCTGGGTCGTAGGGTAGTTCTATTTTTAATGTTTTGAGGAACCTCCATACTGTTTTCCAGAGTGGCTGCACCAGCTTGCTGACCATGCCTATTTTTATGATGAGAAAGTTGTGGCACAGAGGAGGGACAGTGACCTGTCCAGTTCACACAGCTAATAAGTGGAAGAGCTGGAATTTGAATCCAGGCAGAACTACAAAGCTCTAAGCATCATGCAACACTTTCTGTCCTCCCCAGAGGACAGAAAAATAAGTGTGTTTTTTCACTTATTTGAATCTTTGCCATTTTTAGTAAAATTTTTACAGTTTAAAAATATGACTCTACAATTTTTTTGTTTGAGTTATTTCAGGATACTTTCAACATTTTTGTTTGTTGGGCTTTTTGTTGTATGTATGGTGGAGTTCTTAAAATGATATATTTTGATGATTATGAACTTTAAACTTTCCATTTTTAATGACTATGAATAAAGCCATGTGTGAGTTTGAAAGCACATTAACCCTACCCACCTCTGAAAGATAGTGAGAACCTTGTGCAGTCAGTTCTGCTCTTACCTGTCACACTGTCTCATGGGCAGAGAGTGAGATGTGGGCAGAAGTGTTTGGGGAAGAGGCAGTGCCAGCTGTTGGAGTCTAACTGGAAAGAGTCCATGCATGTGTCACGCTAGGGAATCTGGATGACTTCTGGTATCAAACCTTCCAACAGAAGGTTTTAAGCAAGAAAGTGAGATAATTGAGTTTGTTTTCACAAGCATGATTCTTGCCTCAGTTTGTAGGGTGATATGTGCTTGGGACAGCTGGTGGGAGGGAGAGCAGTCAGGGTGCCCTTGCACTATTGCAGGTGAGAGATAATGAGTGTGACCTAAGGCAATGACAGGAGAATACAGGACAGGGTGTGCCTATGTGAGAAGCAAGTTGCGGGGAAAATCAATAGTCCTGGCTTAAATGTTGCAGAAGAGAAAGAGAGAGGAGTTGAAGTTGTCACCAGAAAGACAACTTCAAGTGAAACAAGTTGAAACAAGTTTCAAGTGAAACAGGTAGTATGGGAACCCAGGTGGGTGGGCAGAATGTGGCCGGGAAATAAGTTTGGTATTGGTTTGGCACAGGTGGAGAGTCAGAATAGTAGCCACAGCAATGTCAAAGCATGATATAAATGCTAATGAGATCTGAAACGTGGAGCCTTCTGGTAAAATGGAAAATAGGTTTTGTGAGAGGTTTTTATGGGTTATATGGGAACATGATTGTGACTGGAGCGAAGCACTTGGGAGTTACTGGCATTTATTTCAAGAGTCTTTGGAGGGGTGTCTGGGTGGCTCAGTTGGTTAAGCATCTGACTCTTGATTTTGGCTCAGGTCATGATCTCACGGTTTATGAGTTCAAGCCCTGCATTGGGCTCTGTGCTGACAGTGCAAAGCCTGCTTGGGATTCTCTCTCTTCCTCTCTCTCTGCCCCTCCCCTGCTCTCTCTCTCTCTCTCTCTCTCTCTCTCAAAACTAAATGAATAAACTTTAAAATATATATTAAAAAATAATAAATAATATTTGAAGCCAGAGAAAAGGGTGATGTCAGTCCAGGTAGAGTTCCCATCTTTAGTAAAAAAACAAACAGGACAATTGGTTAAATTTTAATGTCAGATAAACAGCAAATAATTTTTTTGTGTGTAGCCCACATTGTATATGGACATACTGATCCTAAAAATTATTTATTTATGTGAAATTCAAATTTATCAGGGCACCAAGTACTACATCTGACAACCATAACACAGGCTGCAAACACATGCATGCAGGGGCCAGGAAGGCCATTTCACAGGGTGAGGGGGGTGTGAAGCATGGTGGGGAGGGGAGCAGGTGGCCAGCCTAGAGCAGCTCTGTCTGTTCTGAGAGTACCACAGCGGTACAGGTCTGGACGCCAGTATTGTAATGTTTCAAAACATAATAATAAAAAAATGTAGATTTTAATGTGGAATATCCAATTTTATTTCATATTTTTTGATGTTTTTATTTTTGAGACAAAGAGAAAGCACAAGCTGGGGAGGGGCAGAGACAGAGGGAGATAGGAACCGAAGCGGGCTTTGCACTGACAGCACAAAGCCTGACGCAGGGCTCAAATCCATGGGCCTGGAGATCATGACCCGAGCCGAGGTGGGTTGCTCAGTCAAATGAGCCACACAGGTGTCCCTGGAATAGCCCAGGTTTTAAAAGGGGACAACAGTGAAAAGAAACAAAAAAACATTTTGAGGCATGAACAAAGCAGGTCAATGGGGTCCAAAAGGCATATCAGCCACGGGGTTGCCACCTGGGGTCTAATCGCTAGGGAGGGGGTGGGGCAGACTTTTACCCCATGAGTTTCAGTGCTTTGTAGTGTGAGTACTTGGGTGTGGGGAAAGGACAGCAGCAAGGGAGTGAGTCCCTCATGCGAAAGGTAAGATGTGGAAGCAATTCCTCTGGCTGAGGCTCCGCAGTCTTGCCCTTGGGGGCCTGGACAGACCCCACTGGCTACTCTCCCTGGCGCTGGGCAGTGGACAAAGCCCACGGGGCTACACCCAGTACCACCTGCTCTCGCAGGGCCCAAGGAAGACAAGGCTCTTCTACAGGCATCTCAGGGAACACAGCAGCAGCTGCTGGGGCCTTGCAGGCTTTCACCAGAAAATTGTGGGCGGAAACTTCCCGGGGTTTGCTCTGAGCCGGTTTGAGGCTTCTCAGCTTCAGATGCAAAGTAAGTGGGTGTCTCTTTGAGAAGCAGAAAGACAGAAGGAAAGAGAGAACGAGAGAGGTGTTTCCCTTGCCTATGGAAACTCTATAAAGACAGAGCTGAGTTTTCTTCCCTGGAGCAGTCAGAAACAGCGGTCCTGGTCTTGACATCTTCACTGGGGGCCAGCCCGAGGAACAGGCTGCCATGCAGCAGCCCCTGAATTACCCATACCCTCAAATCTACTGGGTGGACAGCAGGGCCAGTTCTCCCTGGGGCCCTCCAGGGTCGGTCCTCCCTTGTCCATCCTCTGTGCCAGGAAGGCCTGGACAAAGGAGGCCGCCACCGCCGCCACCACCAACACTACCACCACCGCCACCGCCACCACCACTGCCCCCACTGCCATTGCCACCTCTGAAGACGAGGAGGGACCACAACACAGGGCTGTGTCTTCTTGTGATGTTTTTCATGGTTCTGGTGGCCCTGGTTGGACTGGGGCTGGGGATGTTTCAGCTCTTCCACCTCCAGAAGGAGCTGGCTGAACTCAGAGAGGTAAGCTGCTGTGTGGATGACTGTGCCCTGAAGCCATGGGGCAGGGGTGGGGGGGACTACCGGGGCCCACAGGGATCATGGTCTCACTTGGAAAGTATTAAAAAAAATTTTTTTAAGTATATTTATTTATTTATTTTGAGAGAGAGAGAGAGAAAGTATGAGCAGGGGAGGGGCAGAGAGAGAATCCCAAGCAGACCCTGTGCTGTCAGCACAGAGCCCAATGCAGGGCTTGAACTCATGAACACTGAGATCACGACCTGAGCCAAAAACCAAGAGGAAGGCGCTTGACCTAGTGAGACACCTAGGTGCCCCGCGAAGTAGTTTTTAATCCTTTTTTTTTTTGTCTTAGAAATGGATCATTCTAGGGGCGCCTCGGTGGCTCAGTCAGTTAACTGTCCAACTTGATTTCAGCTCAGGTCAGGATGTCACAGTTCGTGAGTTCAAGCCCCATGTCAGGTTCTGTGTTGAAAGTGCAGAGCCTGCTTGGGATTCTGTCTCTCCTCTCTGCCCCTCCCCTGCTTGTGCATGCTCTTTCTCTCTCTTTCTCTCAAAATAAATAAATAAACTTAAAAAAAAAAAAAAGAAATGGATCATTCCAGTGATTCTATTCTGTAGGCAGAGAAATGGAAGCTCCAACGAGTGGAAGGAATACTTTCTATATTGGAAAGGATTGGGGCCAAAATAGGACTGGCAGTTCTGGTTCTTTCTCAGTGGGCAAGTCAGTCTGCTGAACCCCTCCCTCCCTAGAGCTTAGTGATTCAAAAAAGAAAAGGAACTTTGAGGTCTTGCTTAGAAGTGAATTCATTTAAATGACCAAACTAAATTTCCTTGAAAATACCTAAAAATATTAGAACTATTTCAAATCACACACATACACACACACAAATGGAGGCATGGTAAGACACAATTGCATGGCCAAAGTCTGAGTTAGGAAAGGTTCTGAGGTATTTAGATTCCCTTCTCAGGGTTATTTGGTTTATTTGACAATTTTGCCTCCTTAAGCATAAAGAACTTCATATTTATTATATATCTTTTTTCTCTCTCTCTTTTGCCAGTCCACCAGCCAAAAGCATGTAGCATCATCTTTGGAGAAGCAAATAGGTGAGTTCTTTCATGCATGTATGTTGAGTTTCTAAAGACAGCCCTCACTGCTGAACCACGTTGGTGGAATGCCTTGAATTCCATCTCATTCTTGGATAATTGTATACTACAAAAGGAATCCTGGCTAATTCTGAATCTCTAGTCATTTTGGTTCCTTGAGCTGCCCTAAACATGAAGTGAATTTAATCATTCAAAACCAATATAACTGAATATTGCACACAATTCAAAATAATTTCCATTTGGCTTTGGAAAGAGACACACATACAACTTTTGTCCCCTAAGCAGCTGGCTCCAGGCCTGTCCCCTTCCTCAGGGCTCCTGCTTTCCATGAACAGGGCAATGGCTATAACTCCTAGAGAGAGGGGGCAGGGTGGGGGAACAGACAGATGTTTCTGGGAAAAGTCTTCTCCTCTTTAAATTCTCTAAGAGTTTACTCAAGAGTCAAGCTTTATTTAAAAAAATTTTGGGGATATATTTTATAGGATATATATAGGATATATATTTTATAGGATATATTATATAATTAAGCTTTTATTTTTATTTTAGTTTTTAGAGAGAGAGTGTGAGCAGGGGAAAGGGGCAGAGGGAGAGAGAGAGAATCCTAAGCAGGTTCCATGCTCAGCATGGAGTCCGACTTAGGGCTTGGTCTCATGACCCTGGGATCATGACCTGAGCCAACATGAAGAGCCAGATGCTCAGCCAACTGAGCTACCCAGGCGCCCTTAAGTTTTTTAACAAGTAGGCAATTAATTATCCACATTGGGGTTGATCTTTTGCATTCACTGGCAAACTTGGGGAAAGACTTTAGGCATTTTTCAAAGGCTAGTCCAGCTTCCCCCACAAAGGCAATCATGAGCTACCTTCAATAATAAAGGAAAGTCCTTTATGTGAGATTCAGAGCAAGGAAGAAGATGAAAATGTTGAACACTGACCTTGTGAAGTTTTGGGATATAGTTTGGAAACTACGGACAGGTAGATTTAGGATGCTCTGGTTTATTAAACCAAAGTTCACTGAACTTTGGATTTGGTAAGAGTTGGAAGGGAGCTTGGAGCAAATCTAGTCCAGTCATCTCACTTCTCAGAAAAGAAACAACATACCAGACAGATTAGGGGATATGCCCAAAACCACAGGCGTAGAACTGGGGTTGAAGGAAAGGAACACAGGCTCCTGATGCTTTGTCAACTACAGGGCTTTCAGTATATAGACTGGTGCCTTATGAAATAGGGAAACTTCCATCTGTCTATGATGGCCATGGAATGAGAAATAAAGATGAGAAGCAAGATGTGTCTGCAAAGACAATAGGTAAATCTCATCCTTAGAAATTGGGAAGCAAACAGAAGACAGCAGTGGCCATCCAATGAGGGGAGGCTGTTTCCAAATTTTCTTATGTCTATCGTAGGTGACCCAAGTCATCCTACTGCTCCAGAATGTAGGCTCTTTAGGAGCCATCCTTTGGATGCTCTGGTCTCTAGTTCTGGGTCCAAGTCCCTAAGTGTTAGAAAGTCCAGGTGTATTCAAGCAGAGTAGAAATATTTGTTAGAAAAATGAAACCTTGGGAGGATTTCTAAAATAAAATAGCTTTGAAAATCAGTGGAATGTGGCTGGTGAAACAGGTCCCTAATTACTCATCTTTCACCCACTCTCTGGGATCATTTTAGTAACTAAAAGTTAAGTGAACAGATGAGTCAGGTCTACCTTTTCCAGTAAACAAGTATCTTCCTTACATCAACCCAGATGGGCCAGAGATTGGTGAATTATCCCATGGAAATCAAATAAGCAACTTTATTAATAAGAAAAGAGATGCAAATTAAAACAAGAGGACACCCATTTTCATCCATCCAAATAGTAAAGATAAAAAAAAAAAAACAGATTGGCAAAATGTGAGAGAAAGTTTGCTTAAACATTAGTTGACAGCCAGGGAACAGGTAAATTGCTATACCTTATCTGAAGAGCAGTTGGAAAAATGTACCAAAAATTTAAAAGTGTTCATTTGCCATGCAACCTCATCACTAAGAATTTATCTTGATTAAATAATCAGAGATAATACCTAAAATCTCGTAGATAAGGATGTTCATCACTTCCTTATTAGGCTATTTATAATAAACAAGTCAGAAGAAACTTAAATGCCTCTCAACAGGAGATTAAATACATTATGGTGTATTCAGAGGTCCTAATACGTAGCAACTAAAATCCATATATTAGAAGGACATTTAATGTCATGGAGATTGTGCATTCTATGTTAGAAAAAAAAACAAGTTATAAAACAGCATGCTTAGGTTAATATTGGCTGTATAAGTGCATATGCATATTTTTTATTCTTAGTAAAGAACTAGAAGGACTAGTTATTTAAACATTCTTATTTGCTCCTTTTTCACTTTCCATTTTCCCACAGTTAACTCATTAAGTCTTTTATTCATTCACAAATGTTCTTGGAGTGCTTCTTATGTGCCAGGTTGGGTGCTGGGTGTTGGGTGATGATTGAGAACAAGAGAGACAAGGGTCCTGCCTGCACAGAGCTTTTAGCATGTTGGAAAGGATAAACAAAAGCAAGCAAGCCATGGCATAATTTCAAATTGTACTAAGTGCGACATAAGATAGAGTGGTCTGGAAAGTCCCCTCTAAGGAGGTGGTGTGTGTGTGTGTGTGTGTGTGTGTGTGTGTGTGTGCATGCGTGTGTATGAGTGTGCATGTGTGTCAGGTGCAGTGGGAGGATAGGGGAAAACATTCCAGCAGTGAGAATGGCATGTGCAAAGACCCTGGGGGCAGGAAACATTCATCACTGAAGCGTAGGACATATTTCCAGTTTATTTCAATATTTATCCAGAAGATACTTTTAATGAGTACCCTTTATGAGAATAACACTGTACAAGGCTCTGTGAGGGATATAAAGATACGCAACATGTGGTTCTCTGTTCCATTTCCTGTCAGCACTTGGCTGAATGTCAGACGAGTTGCACAGATGGTTTGTGGTATAGGAATGTAGAGGAGACTCAGTTTTGCCTTTCCTGTTCACTAACACCTCATTCATTGTGGGTGGTCTTGGGTGGCTAGAGAGGTAATGATTAGTCAGGTAACATTCTGAGTTGACTGGGGCATTCTCATGCCATATGTGTGTCTTACAGGCTAATCACAAGGAACTTGATGTGGATGAGTGCCTTTCTATGAATCTTTCTTGAATGCCTTAGCTGAATTCATTATCTAAGTGGTAGCTCAGTTTGGTTAAAATACCTGAAGTCAGACACACAATGTCTACTTTGGGAACTATTGTCTATTTTAACTCCTCCAATTAAATTTAACAAATATTTACTGGCTATATGCCCTGTGTCAGAAAATGAGCTAAGTACTCTGGTAGATTAAATATATAGTAAGAAATTTGCCCTTTATTTGAGGGGAATAAGACAAGTTACACAGGCACCTCAGAAACGGGGAGTCAGAACTGACAAGAGAGGTAAAGACAGAGTGATTCTAGGTTTCAAAGGAGGGAGAAATATTTGATTAAAAAGGCCTAGGACGGTTTCCCAAAGAAAGAGGGGTTGTAGGTGGTATTTAAAGGGTTGATAGGAATTTGCCAGAAGGATGTTTGGAGGGCGTTTTGGGCAGACGGAACAGCATGAGCAAAGGCACAGGGGCTGGAAGCTGGGTGTGTTCAGGTTATATCAGAACTCGTGTTGTGCAGCCTTGGCCAATGTGAGCAAGTAGAGGAGATGAGGCTGGTCAGACAGGCAGAGATCGTGTGGCTGGGGAAACTTTTACACAATTATATATTCAATGAGGAGCTATTCAAGGCATTTGAGATCTGAGGATGATTAATTTGGGCAGACTGTCAAATGCCACCTGGGGGGAGACCTAATGGCCAGGAGGTGAAATCACAGTCTTCTTTGGCCTCTGTCCTGAGGAGTGCTACAGACAGCAGAACCAGAGTAGAAAAATCCTAATTTGGAGTCAGGAGACCTGAGTGTCTATCCTTCTCTGATATTGAGTAGCTGGGTCAGTGCCACCCAAGTTCTAAGCTCATTTAGCCATCTATAAGGTGGAACAATAATGTCTACTTCAAAGGGTTGTGGCAAGTTCAAATGCAGTAACTGATCTGATAGCTCTTTATAAATCAACCTTTTTATTATTTTATTGTGACATTATAACTATGCACATGTCTATTTCAATTTGGTTTATTTTTGACCTCTTTGTTTCTGAAATACAGGTTCCTGTGAGTTCTATGGTTTGGATTTGCATGATTAGTATATGTCAGACTGTTGTCATTTATGTTTTAAAAAAATCACTTTTATTTAAATGACCTGTTCAGAGTCCCAACAAAAGAATGGTTGGTGTCTCATTTTTACATGTATTTTTCATCTCTCTATGATACAGGTCAACTCAATCCACCCTCTGAAAAAAGGGAGCTGAGAAAAGTGGCCCATTTAACAGGTCTGTATCTGGAAGGTATATGGGGTTTGGGAAAGCCTTTGACAGAAAGCTGCATAGCTGGTTGGGTACTGTGCTCTGAGGGAGTTGTTACTTTCTGGTGACAGTATTTGACAGCCAAGAATGGTCCTATGTTTCTAGTCAAGTCAACCTCACACGCAGACTGAACCCCTACTGCGGTCTAGGCCATATTCTGAACTAGAGAAATTCAGCTCCACCAGGAGCCCACTCTTCAATAATTCCAAAGAACTGTATGAAATTTGGGGCATGGGCATAAGAGGTGAGATCTGGGAAGGTGGGGAGTAAATGCTTTTCTGGTTTTCTGGAAGAGCCTCACCCTGCTTTCTGCAAGAGTAGAACTGGGAATGAAGAGAAAGGCCCAGTCCTGGCACTGCGGGACTTCCTGCATGTGGCACGTAGTGGAGTGAAGTGATTTGATAACAGTGTGGTATGGACATTACCAGGGTATAGTCCATTAACATCTGAAAGTGGAAAAGTATCACAGAAACTGATGTGCCACTGCCCCTGGAATTATTTAGGCAGAGGCTGTAGAATGATCCAGTTTGGACCAACAGATATTTATTGAACACATGTTGTGTGCCAAGTCTTGGGGACATGTAGATGAATAACACATGGTTCCTGCCTTCAAGGAACTTAAGGTCTAATAGAGAAAGACAGGTACATAAGCAGTAATTTAAGTACTGGGGAGTGTTCTCTGGTGAAGGTATGTATATACAGCTGTGGGGACATAAAAGAAAGGGAATTTTAGCCCAAAGTAGGGACTGAAGACTCCTTAGTGTAGGCAAGGAGTTGGACCTGGTGATCCCTAAAGATTCTTCCCGACTTTAGAATTTCAGAGTTCCTTGGGTTTGGCTTTCCTCCTCACTGGGGGGACCTCAAAGCCTAGACGTTTTGGTGTTAGTTCTGACGACTATAGAATCTTTGTTCCAGAGAGCTAAAATAATCTCAATAATGTCCCATTGCAATTGACTAGCATATATATTATTGTCCCAGTTGTATAGTTGATAAACTGAGGCAAGCAATTTAATAGAGGTGTTGAAGGAATTCAGTAATGGATCAAGTCTGACCCATTGGCCTGTTCTATATGGGCTATGTCACTTTGGTCATCTGCTCAAGGAAAGGCCCACAGTTTTTGCCTTGGAAGCTTCTTTTGTTGGATACATGAGCATTCCTGGCTGAACGCTCCTCTCTGATTTGATTTCAGGCAAGCCCAACTCAAGATCCATCCCTCTGGAATGGGAAGATACATATGGAATTGCCCTTGTCTCTGGGGTGAAGTATAAGAAGGGTGGCCTTGTGATCAATGACACTGGGATGTACTTTGTATATTCCAAAGTGAACTTCAGGGGTCAGTCCTGCAACAACCAACCCCTGAACCACAAGGTCTACATGAGGAACTCTAAGTATCCCCAGGACCTGGTGCTGATGGAAGGGAAGATGATGAACTACTGCACTACTGGCCAGATGTGGGCCCGCAGCAGCTACCTGGGGGCAGTATTCAATCTCACCAGTGCTGACCATTTATATGTCAATGTATCTGAATTATCTCTGGTCAGTTTTGAGGAATCTAAGACATTTTTTGGCTTATATAAGCTCTAAGAAAAGCACTTTGGGATTCTCTCCATATGGTTCCTTGTTACAGGCACTGAGAATATGATCTTGAATGAGAGTCTTCTTAAGCCCACTTGAGGTCAAGTGAGAAGACATGAGCCAAGTAGACCTTGAGACTACAGGGTCCAGCAGGTCTACAGTTCCTCATCTCACTGTAGATGTCCATCTGTCTGGTCCATGTGCCAGACAGGAGGGGGAATATGACTGAAGAACATGAGACTCTCGCTGCCATGTGAAGATGCAGAGGCAGGGAGAAGCAGCTACCAAGGTGTTCTACACTCATCTTAAGTGGCCAAAAGCATTTTGGCCCATTGGAAAGGACAATTAACTCACCTCTTGGGGTGAGTTTACTGTCTACCTCAGGGGAGGCTGCCTTTCAGATATATGGATGTGACATGAGTGTATAAGGGATGGAAAAAGAAGACTAGGCTTGCATGATAAGCTAAAGAGACTAAAAGGCCAGTGTCCCATTGGCAGCATCTTTTTTTTTTTCAAAATTTTTTGTAACGTTTATTTATTTTTGAGACAGAGAGAGACGGAGCATGAATGGGGGAGGGGCAGAGAGAGAGGGAGACACAGAATTGAAAGCAGGCTCCAGGCCCTGAGCCATCAGCCCAGAGCCCGACATGGGGCTCGAACTCATGGACCACGAGATCGTGACCTGAACTGAAGTCGGACACTTAACCGACTGAGCCACCCAGGCACCCCGGCAGCATCTTTATTTCTAAATGCATAGCCTAAGCTACCAGGTGATGCTAACAGAATAGAAAGGGGGATCTTTTGGGAAGTTGGTCCATTCCCTACACAGCATGTACATTTTCAGTGCAATTGTAGAGGTGTGTATGTGTGCACACGTGTGTGCATGCGTGTGTGCGTGCATGCATGTGCACATGTTCACATGCATGTGACTGGAAGAGTTACCTAAGTAGGGACAATGTGGAGATTGGGAAGGACATGTTAGGAAAACATGGGTCGCATTCAGTGGTAGATTTTGAGTACTTCTTGGCAACGAACTCAGCTGTCCTCAAAATAGTCCTCAAGACTCTTTGATTGTCAGCTGTTGATGCTGTTTTCCTATAATATAATCAGTATTTATATACATTTTGTGTATTTTAATGAAAATAATACATGTAATAAAAATTATATTTTAGAATACAGATAAACAGTGCTTTTTGGAAATCACTAAGATTTGGATTTTTTCCTTATTATTTCTCTCCTCCATGGCTTCCTCACATATTTTGACTAAGGCCAAGTTAAGAAGAACTCACTGGGGTGAGATGAACTGTGGAGCAAATCTGTCATTGCCAGACATCCCTCTCCCTCAGCCTCTTTCCCATTATCCAAAGTTTTCATTACCTATGCTATTGCCAGTGTTAAGCTCATCCAACTTGCAATAGATTTGATGACAATTTCCCCCCACCCCCCAGGGGGCAGAGCCATACCAGAGTGCAAGGGGCAAGACTTTGGACTGAAAAACCTGAACTTGAGTTTTTGTTCCTCTACTTACTAACTGTGTAATCACTAGGCGAGTCACTTGACCTCTCTTGGACAAAAATGGCTGATATGTAAAGTATTGATACATGGCATCTGTCTAAACAATGGCATCTATCTTTATTAATAAGCCACTCCGTGAGAGGCACTTCATGCTCCAGAAGAAGCCATTAACCTGAGGGATCCATCCAAACCCCTGGTCTCTTACACTGTTCTGTTCTTCACTCACAATGACTTTTTCCTATTTTTTTTTCAACTATTCACTACCATGGCTTCTCCTTAGACTTTGTTGTTGTTAAAAATTATGGTATTTCTTGGAGTGCCTGGGTGGCTCAGTCAGTTAGGTGTGCGACTTTGCCTCAGGTCATGATCTTGTGGTCGCAAGTTTGAGCCCCGTGTCAGGCTCTGTGCTGACCGCTCAGAGCCTGGAGCCTGTTTCAGATTCTGTGTCTCCCTCTCTCTGACCCTCCCCCTGTTCATGCTCTGTTTCTCTCTGTCTGAAAAATAAATAAACATTAAAAAAAAACTTTTAAAAATAAAAAAAAATTATGGTATTTCCTTTACAATTTGATTTCTTATTTTCACAATATCACCTCTTATTATTACAGCTCAATTGCTTCAACGTTTTCTCTCCTAAAATATGTATATTTTTACCATATTGAGGCCTCTAATAAACTATCATTCCTTACATATCCATCAGCTCCTTCTTTATCTTTACTCCTCTCCCTGATAAGCTTAGATTCTACCCTTATCAGGACAATCATTATCTTGGAAAAATTTTCAACTCCAGAATATTCTGCTTCCTTCACTGTATTCTCCTTGCAAAAATCCCATTTTTTTTTTTAATTTTTTTTTTCAACATTTATTTATTTTTGGGACAGAGAGAGACAGAGCATGAACGGGGGAGGGGCCGAGAGAGAGGGAGACACAGAATCGGAAACAGGCTCCAGGCTCTGAGCCATCAGCCCAGAGCCCGACGCGGGGCTCGAACTCACGGACCGCGAGATCGTGACCTGGCTGAAGTCGGACGCTTAACCGACTGCGCCACCCAGGCGCCCCAAAAATCCCATTTTTTTTAAGCTGGCATCCTAAAAGCTGAACATTGCTGGAGAAAAATTACCCAAATAGACAGATTGGTTTATTTTTTATCTATTGTCTACTTAAATAGATTACTCTTTATCACTGATTTATTTCTATCTTTTGATTGATTTGAATAAGCAATACATGGATATAATACAAATGTTAAATAAAAGGCACACAAGGTATAAGAATGGAAGTAAACCCATTGTGCCCCATGGTCCCATTTCTGCCCACAGAGTGTATCACTGTCTCCTTCTGTAGCTTCCCGGAGATGGTCTATATGTAAGTATGACATCACTTTATATCTGGGTTTCCCAACCTTGGTTCTATTGACATTCTGAGCTGGATAATTCTTTGTTGTGGGGGTTTTCCTGTGCACTGTAGTATGTTTAGCAGTATCCATGCCCTCTATCCACTAGATGCTAGTAGCATTGCTCCCTCCTCCATGTGTGATAACAAGAATATGTCCAGACAATGCCAAATGTTCCCAAGCTGGGGTGGGAAGACATAATCAGCTCTACTTGATTGAGAACACTGCTTTGTATTCGTGGTCACAGATCATTTAATCCTGCCTAGAACTTTTTCTTCTGTTCCCTGCCAAGCACATTTTTCCACTGTTTGAAACAATTATGTCTTATCTTTTTCTCTTGCAAACCTGCCATATCACCTTCTCCCACCATGGAACCTCACTTATACCACCAGAACACAAATCACCTGCATCTGCATGATCTCTTTCTTTTATCCTTATAGTGGAGGAAGAGGGCCATCTTTTCATTTGTGCACTAGACCCTTTTCCTCTCCCCTACTTTGCCTCTTTAAAATTGTTCTTTCTTCTGGATTCTCAAACCATCACTGTCTATGAAATGGTTTCCATCAGCATGTACATATGTTCAAGTATCCTTTTTCAATAAAAGACAGCCAAACCCAAACTAAAAAGATCCCAAACCTTTCTTTACCTTTCTTCTCCAGTGATGGCTACATTTCTCATTTTCCTGGTAGAGACAAACATCTGAGAAGGTTGTCTCCACATACATGGGCTCCATTTCCTTAGCCAGGAATGGCCTTCAGGCTCTTCATGTGACTGACTTCTTATCGTTCAGGTCTTAGTTTAAATGTCACCTCCTCAGACCATTTCTAGAACCTCCTCTTTTTCTCATTGTTTTATTGCTCTCTAGTTCCTTCTTAGTAACTAGCATAACTTGTGGTTATGTTCTTTATTTGACAACTTTCAAAATATCTGTTTTTTCCAGTAGAATAAAAGTTCCAAAAGCAAGACCTTTTCTGCTTTGTTTACCACTGTAACCTCATCACCAAACCCAGTGCCTGGCGTATATTAAGAGCTCAAGAGATAGCTGTTGACTGAATAACCTTAATTATAAAGCAAATATTTCTCAGTTTGGGGTATATGTGTATGTTTCTCAGCCTAATGAATATATTCACTACTAGTCGTAGTATTGTCTCATGAATGTATGTGAATGTTTATCCAGCTTTGAGTAGGTTATCTAATGGGAATTTGAGGCTACAGATGGAAGAAATAGTGCATCCTAATTCTTAGCACTGGAAAATGAGAAAAACCTATTTGGTGTGTGGTATTACCAGGAGTTATTCAGGAGACTGTTGAGGGAAAGCTGCTGGGTAACTAGAGCTGAACTTGTCCCTTAGAAGATATTCAATAAATATTTGTTGAATAAATTAATGAACAAAACCAAAGATGCATGCTGAAGTGTGTCACCTGCTCTCCTTAAAACTCTTCTGTTGATTCATCTGCTTCCTGACCAGTACGTCATGGAGAAAGTCAGGGAGGTATTTATTCACCCTTCTTTTGGCTGCTTGTTTGTATTCCTAGCCCTCATGATGAAACCCTCCTTATCCCTTTTCTCCTCTTTTGGCTCCAAACATCAAGTACACCAGTTCTAAGCGTAATGGGAAGTTTACTGGACCTTTTTTTTTTTTTTTTTTTTAAATCAATGGACCCTTCTAAATAATGATACCAGAGCAAAAAGGAAGAAGGAATGGCACTGGACATCCTGAGAAAACATAAGGCCATCAGCTAGTAATGGTATTACTGGCACTTTTATCCCTCCAAGTCTAAGCTCTATTAGGATGCCTTTGGGATTTTCTGAAGATAAAGCCATAACTTACCATGGTTTAAGTACTTGTTCCAGGAAAGAGATGCTAGCAGTTCCTTCAGGAATCTTGAGTTATTTTTCTTTACCTCTGTAGGAACATAAGAATGCCAATATATATATATGTATATATTGTACAATATACATATATATATAAATACATACAATATATATGTATATATATATATTTTTTTTTGATTAGCTCACTAAAATGGGATCTGCCATTGTTACTTTGTGAAATGATAGACTCAAAGTAGAACACTTAAAAAAAAAAAGGAGAAGATGAAGATTACTTCTGGTTCAGTAGTTTGAGGTTTTCTTTCTTTTCAAACAACCAAAACCACACAAAACCTGTGTTTTTCCTTAGCCCCCCAGAGTGGTGACCTTGTATTCTCTGAAGTAGGTTTTGACTTACCACAGCTTAGTAGGAAAATAGCTCTACCAGGGACCATCATTTTTAGTGTGGCTCATTTGAACTGATAGATCATTGGAAGAAGAGCACTAGAGAGAGAAGCCTGACTCCCTCGAGCCAGACTGTAAGATTTCCGTAGGGTTAAGCCACAGATATTTGCAGGTCCTTATCTGAAAGTGTGCCAGTTGTATGTTAAATTACATTTTACTAAGGGGTCTGTTTTAGTTCTGGTGTTAGTAGAGCTAAATTTTTTACTTTCTGGTTTTCTGTTTTGTTTTGTTTTGTTTTCCCCTTTGCCTGGGTTTTGAGTCATCCAGACAGAATGAGGTGATCCTAGGAAAGTAGAATTAGAACTCCATTCCTTAGGGTCTTCAGACTGAGAAATGAACCTTACACAGAAATATATTTTTTAATTTTTAAAAAGTTTTATTTATTTATTTATTTATTTTGAGAGAGAGAGAGAGAGTGCACGAGCAGGGGAGGGACAGAGAGAGAGAGAGAGAGAGAGAGAGAGAGAGAATCCCAAGCAGGCTCCACACTGTCAGCACAGAGCCCAACACAAGGCTGGATTCCAGGACCCTGGGATCATGACCTGAGCTGAAATCAGGAGTCAGACTCTTGGGGCGCCTGGGTGGCTCAGTTGGTTAAGCATCTGACTCTTGATTCTGGCTCAGGTCATGATCTTCTGGTTTGTGAGTTCAAGCCCCATATTGGGCTTGAAACCTGTTTGGGATTCTCACTTTCCCTCTCTCTTTGCCCCTCCCCTGCTCACAAGTGCTCTGTCTCTCTCTCTCAAAATAAATAAATAAACATTAAAATAATAATAAAAAAAGAGTTGGCCACTTAACTGACTGAGCCACCTAAGCACCCCCAGAAATATTTACACTATTGATGGTAGCCAGGAGCCTTTGGGATTCACCTAAGGGCCAACCAGTTTTGGAAATACAGATGTCTAAGTGGGTATTCTGCTCCTTACAGCTCACCCAGAAGATAGGAAAGCATCGCCTCAGTGATGACTTTCTCACTGTTGCCAAAACTTCCTCCTTCCAACTGTTCATCTTCAGAGAGAAACACAAGGCAGATATCTCTTCTATCCCATTTGGAAGCTCCTTCAGCTCTATGGGATCATCTTTTCTTCTACATCTCAATTGAATAACATGAAGTCAATATCACATTCTGTGGGAAGTCAAATCTTCTCTCCAAGTTTTCTGAGAATTTCAGGGAGGCATTGTCTTGGGCAGCCCACATTATAAAAAGTCTTTTACGAATAATATAAAGCAACTGCTCTTTCAAGGCAGAAGCTTTCATAGCCACATTTCCAACAGTTGGAACACATTTCTAACACATCCTTAATTTGAAAACTTCCTGGTAAGGGGCTTGCTGAAATGTAAGGGAGCCTATAACTGCACTGGACTATACTACATTTTAGAAAGTTCTTTTTCAGATTTAATTGAAATCCTTTGCATTGTAAGTTCCCCACATTGGTCACAGTTCTTTCCTGCTTAATATTCCTATAGTATTTTATAACTTATAAAGTTTCTCATGTACCTTATCTTGTTTCATTTTCATTACAACTTCAGAAGGTAGATAGTTGTCTTCATTTTATACACAAGAACAACTGAGACACTGAAAAGTTATAAGCCTTGCTTAAGGTGACATGACCAATTAGTGGTGGAGCTGAGGCTAAATCCCAGTTATCTAAAACCTTACATTTTATGTTCTTTCCACATGCAGAGAGATTTCTTAGCACTGATCATGGCACCCAAGATGAGTCTCATTAATTTTCAGTGACTCCTTATCACTTTGCATTTTAGTTTAAATCACACTTTGGTTAATGCCCACATTCTGCATAATATAATAAATATAATATAATATAAAACATCTTTGATACCACAACCCTAAAGAGGTCATAGTTGAAATTGTTCTTAGATTCTTTTTCTTTCATTTCTTCTCTCTACTGTCTTTTATCTGAATCACCCTTATTGCTCATCTGCCATCAGTGGCCTCAGTTTTAACAAAGTGAGAAGGAAAGAGATTGAACTTGGAGTCAGAAGGCCTGGGTTTGAGTCCAGCCTCTGCTACTCAACTAGCTATGTGTGTGACCTTGAGTAAGTGACAGGGAATATCTTGAGATTCAGTTGTGTCCACTTAAAATGAGGACACCAATTCCTATTCTCATGATTTTATAGGAATATTGTTAATGCTAAATGGAATGAAGCCACTTTGTGAGGAATGGTACTTCTGAAAATAGGTCAGTGGAGTTGTTATATTCCTCAGCAACTCTCCTGATAAACTCTTTACCTTTTGTTTTGTTTTGTTTTTAAAGCAGGCTCCATGCCCAATGTAGGGCTTGAATTCATGACCCTGAGATCAGAGTTGCATGCTGTGCTGACTGAGCCCGTCAGCCATCCCCTGATAAAGTCACTGTTAAAAAAAAAATTCTTACTTGCTGTTTTAGTTTGTACAAAATCAATCACCCATAATCCTATCATATTATGTATGAATGCCATCAAACGTAAAAACACCAGTTAGAAACAACAGATAGATAAAGATTCTGAGGTATAAAAATAAAAGTATAATATCTTACATTTTCATAGCCTTTAAAACTTTTCTCACATGACTTTTGCTTTTATTTTTTTTAAACATATAACGTAATACACATGAAAGCAGTTGGCATGTGTCAGCTTCTCTAGAAATGTTAACTAAATATATTGAATACCTTCTGTGCTCATTATATTTACAGCCTTGTGTGATGCCATTTTGGTGCCTATGTTTTAAATCATGACATATAATTAAATAGGGTACTGTTTAAACATTTGCCTGGGGGAGAGAGAATACTTTATGTTCTTTGTTGTCCTTATATATAGTTAAAACCCCCAGCTTAACCTGGGCTTGTCTTGGGAGATATGAGCTGCTTAGGGAATCCCCCCTCCTCCAGCTGCTCATTACAGAAGGGATAGAACTTCTTGGTTCTCATGTCATAGCCTTGGCTTTCTGTGGGTAAACCACTTCAAAGAGTGTGAGTTAGTAAGAGGCACCCTTGATGTTATCGAACTCTGAAAGTGTCCACACATGTAAGGCACCATATACTAGATAAGCACCTTTGCAAAGGAGACTGGAGAGTCAGATGGGCATCTATTGTTACCTCGAATACTTCTCTGGGTAAGGATCTTTTAGTTTCACTTGGTTTAGGTCTTAGTTTTCTCACACACACAACCCTAACACCACACCCGCACCACTTCCAGTCTGTGGAAGGGAACTTGGTGCACATTTTCTGGAAGGGAAGGTTCTAGAACTTGTTCCTGATTGGAAGAGAAGGCAGGTGGAAGATTCAGGAAGCTACAAAGGTCTCTGGCCTTAAATAAATGAACTACGATTCTAGAGCTTCGTAACAGAGATTAAAGATTGTAGACTGAAGAAATTGGAGGTTCCAGTAACATGAAATGTGTTCTATTCTCCTCACTGTGTCTTCATTGAGAAGAAAAAACAGCTTTGACTCAGTAATGAGCAAGAGACACAGAAGTGTTAAACAGAACTCTAAGGTGTGAGCTGCAAGGGAAGATATTTCAAACCTCAGCATCCTCTTTGCATCGTTTGGGTGGGTTGTGTTCTGGTCTCTAAGAAAGTCTGGAGGCTGCTGCAGAGTTCTGGGAAGGTGGCAAAGAAAAGACTGCAATGCAGGGAACTTTAGCACTCTGTTCTTGGGTTACTTGATCGTGTTGACTGGTATAGCAAATTGGCTCTTTCTAACTTTCCAGAAGAATGTGAAAAGACTGCTCTGGGAAGGGAGTGGGGGGTGCAGTCAGTAGAGGAGGTGGCTGGATCCACATTTGAAAGGAAGGTGAACTTGGGGTATGTTTTTTTCTGCCCTACCTCCAAGCCTACATTGCCATACCTTATGGCTTACAAAATGGGTAAGAATATCAACTTATTTAAAAATAACGGGACATTTATTACAGGACTTATTCCTGCCCTAAGCCAAGCCATGAAGTCAATAAATAACAATAATAGTTGCAATTTATTGACTCCCTTTTTGTAAGGATTATGCAAAGCATCTTAGATTTATTTTTACTAATCTTCAGAACTCTATAAGTCAAGTGTTACTAACTCCATTTGGTAAGTGAAAAAACTGATTTAGGTTCAGAGAAGTTAAGTAACTTTCCCCAGGTCACAGGGTAGCAGAAACAGAATTCAATACCAGGCTTTTTCTGAACCAAGGAAACTTACCTAAATCAGGTTCATACTCCCCCATTATAATGTCAATATTCTTTTTTTTTTTAGACTCTGTAATTGAATCAATGCATTTTTATTTCATAGGAAAAAGTGACTATCTTTCATGAATAGGTACCAGATCATGAATTCAGTACTGTTATTCTTTTTTTTAAAGTTTATTTATTTATATTTTGAGAGAGAGAGAGAGAGACCAGGAATGGGGCAAAGACAAAGAGAGAGGATCAAAAGCAGACTCCCCACTGTCAGCATGAAGCCTGATGCAGGGCTAGAACTCATGAACCCTGAGATCATGACTTTGAGTTGAAACCAAGAGTTGGGTGCTTAACCGACTGAGCCACCCAGTTGCCCAGTACTGTTATTCTTTTTTTTCCTGATAAAAGCTTGAGATGGATATTAGACACTTCACAATTTATGATGATTAATTCTATAACAATAACTTGTCTTACTCCCATTTGTGTTTTTAATTTTCTATAAATATATATGCTTATATAGCAATGTTTAAAAAAATAATAGGCAACTATCACAAACTGTATGCCTTTTTTTCGGCAGGTGGAGAATTCTGTTCTGACAGAACTGATAATGTCAATATTCTTCATTCATTCTACAAATTTTTATTATCTTATCTTATCGAGAAAGAGAGAGAGCACATGAGCAGGCGAGAGGGGCAGAGGCAGAGAGAGAAAGAGAATCTCATGCAGGCTCCACACTCAGTGTGGAGCCCTACTGGGGGTTGGATCTCAGGACCCTGGGATCATGATCTGCGCCAAAATCAGGAGTCTACTGCTCAACCAACTGAGCCACCCAGGCACCCCTCTACAAACATTTACTAAGTACCCACTAGGTGCCATGCTTTGTTTAGGGGATACAGTGGTGTACAAGACAGGTAAGTTTCCTGTTCCTTTAAACTTATGTCCTAGTTAGGGGCAGGGATGGTGGTGGTAGTGGAGAAAATTAAAAAAAAAAAAAAAACAAGCAAAAAAAATACACAAATTATCACTTGATAAACACAATGTAGGGAATTAAAATAAGGTATTGAGATAGAGACTAGATAACTACATTAGAGGGAAGGCCTCTCTGAGGGGGTGCCATTTAATATGACAAGAGACACAAGAGGTGCCATTTAAAGTGACTCTCGATCTCTGTGGTGAGTTTGAGCTCCACCTTGGGCATACAGATTACCT